CATTGCGTTTGTTTATCCGGGGAAAGCCTCACCGAGTCTCAAGACTCTTCGAATCGGGGGGTTCTTGATAAGTTTTGCGGTTGGGTGGGCGATATTGCCGCCGTGTGTAATCCCAAATCGACTTATTTGCAGGAATTTGTTTCAGCACTGGGATATTTGGCCAGCATGCAGTTAGGCTGCGAGTGTGGCTTTGGCTATGGGAGGAAACGTGGAGAGCTTGGAGAAAAAACACTGGCAGAACGAGAGGGGAGATCGTGCAAACTCCACACAGAGAGGCGCCCGAGTGGGATTTCAACCCTGAAGCACGACTGTGACCATGGCACCACGCTGCCACCCTTAACCTTGGGTTCACAATATGTTTCTGTTGGGTAGGCCCAGCAACATGTACTACGCAGTATATATATTATCTTGCCAGATAAGGCCCACTGAGCTGTATAGCTGTTTTTCAGAAGCGACCTGGCAATTACAAACGACAGCTCAACGAAGTGGCTCATCGTGTGGAAATGTATCGGAGCCAGATACTCTAAACGCGTGATGTTGGTTCTACATGTGGAGAGGAAAACCGGAGGACCCGGAGAAAAAAAACCCCACGCCACCACGGGGAGAGAGACAACGCAAACTCCCAATATGCAGTCGGCATCAGGGTCGGGATCGAACCCACGACCTCCTGCATACCAGGCGAGGTAGTGAACAACTGAGGTTAATAAAGACCATAATACTCAGAGAGATCACATGTCCACGTCTCCAGTGTGTTAGGAAGGCATGTGCTTCACATGTTACGTGTTTTTTTGTCGCCCTTACGTGGTGCTGGCTTTCTTCCGCGCACATTCGAAGTTTCTCCTGCACGGTGGCCATGCTGCGAGGCTGCACCCACTCACGGAGCTGCATTGGACGCGGGCCGCCGTGATACCTTCCAAATTGACAGCGACTCTCTCACAGACGCACCCACCCTGCTCAGCAGATGGATAAGGTGCTGCACCGTATTAATTACATTAGCGGTACATTGCTGCGTTCATTATTTATACACGCGTTAGCCACACTCTCTGCCTCGTCACTGGCTGTGCCGCGGATGCTACCGCGGGCTCTTCGTTCGAGATTAAAATGACGAGTGATACTGATTGGCGCTAAAACTCCTCTTGACGCCTCGGGCAGCAAGAAGGACCTGGGTTCAGTCCACGACTCGGGAAGATCTCCGTGTAGGGTCGGTCATGGTCTCCCCTTGTTATCCAATTGCTTTGCTCCGGGTTCTCCGGTTTCTTTCCATCACTGGTATTGCTAAACATCCCAATGCTGAAAACTAAAACCTATCTGCAAGCTGCTCAATGAGGATTACACGCAGCAGTAGCAACATGGAGTCCTTGACTCAGTGAAGCTCCCGTGGGTAAACAACACGTGTGGGAGGGAGTAGAGAGACGGGAGAACAGAGAGGGAGCGGTGAGGAAGGGGTGAGGGAGGGGTGAGGGGTGAGGGAGGGTGAGGAGGGGTGAGGAAGGGGTGAGGGAGCGGTGAGGGAGCGGTGAGGAAGGGGTGAGGGAGGGGTGAGGGGTGAGGGAGGGGTGAGGAAGGGGTGAGGGAGCGGTGAGGGAGCGGTGAGGAAGGGGTGAGGAAGGGGTGAGGGAGCGGTGAGGGAGCGGTTGAGGAAGGGGGTGAGGGAGGGGTGAGGGGTTGAGGGAGGGGTGAGGGAGGGGTGAGGGGTGAGGGAGGGGTGAGGGAGGGGTGAAGGAGCGGTGAGGAAGGGGTGAGGAGGGGTGAGGGGGGGTGAGGGAGGGGTGAGGGAGGGGTGAAGGAGCGGTGAGGAAGGGGTGAGGGAGGGGTGAGGGAGGGGTGAGGGGGGGTGAGGGAGGGGTGAGGGAGGGGTGAAGGAGCGGTGAGGAAGGGGTGAGGGAGGGGTGAGGGAGGGGGTGAGGGAGGGGTGAGGGGGGGTGAGGGAGGGGTGAGGGAGGGGTGAGGGGGGGTGAGGGAGGGGTGAGGGAGGGGTGAAGGAGCGTGAGGAAGGGGTGAGGGAGGGGTGAGGGAGGGGTGAGGGAGGGGTGAGGGGGGGGTGAGGGAGGGGTGAGGGGGGGTGAGGGAGCGGTGAGGGAGGGGTGAGGGAGGGGTGAGGGAGGGGTGAGGGAGGGGTGAAGGAGCGGTGAGGGAAGGGGTGAGGGGAGGGGTGAGGGGGGGTGAGGGAGGGGTGAGGGAGGGGTGAAGGAGCCGGTGAGGAAGGGGTGAGGAAGGGGTGAGGGAGGGGTGAGGGAGGGGTGAGGGAGGGGTGAGGGAGGGGTGAGGGGGGGGGTGAGGGAGGGGTGAGGGGGGGTGAGGAGCGGTGAGGGAGGGGTGAGGGAGGGGTGAAGGAGCGGTGAGGAAGGGGTGAGGAAGGGGTGAGGGAGGGGTGAGGGGGGGGTGAGGGAGGGGTGAGGGAGGGGTGAGGGGGGGTGAGGGAGGGGTGAGGGGGGGGTGAGGAGCGGTGAGGGAGGGGTGAGGGAGCGGTTGAGGGAGGGGTGAGGGGGGTGAGGGAGCGGTGAAGGAGCGGTGAGGAAGGGGTGAGGGAGGGGTGAGGGGGGGTGAGGGAGAGGTGAGGGGGGGTGAGGGAGGGGTGAGGGGGGGTGAGGGAGCGGTGAAGGAGCGGTGAGGAAGGGGTGAGGGAGGGGTGAGGGGGGGTGAGGGAGGGGTGAGGGAGGGGTGAGGGGGGGTGAGGGAGGGGTGAGGGAGCGGTGAGGGAGGGGTGAGGGAGCGGTGAGGGAGGGGTGAGGGAGCGGGTGAGGGAGGGGTGAAGGGGGGGTGAGGGAGCGGTGAGGAAGCGGTGAGGGAGCGGTGAGGGAGGGGTGAGGGAGAGGTGAGGGAGGGGTGAGGGAGCAGTGAGGGAGGGGTGAAGGGGAGGTGAGGGAGGGGTGAGGGAGCGGTGAAGGAGCGGTGAGGGAGGGGTGAGGGAGGGGTGAGGGAGCGGTGAAGGAGCGGTGAGGGAGGGGTGAAGAAGGGGTGAGGGAGGGGAGAGGGGGGGTGAGGGGGCGTGAGGGAGGGGGTGAGTGAGGGGTGAGTGAGGGGTGAGGGAGGGGGTGAGGGAGGGTGAAGGAGGGGTGAGGGGGGTGAGGGGGGGTGAGGGAGGGGTGAGGAGGGGTGAGGGGGGGGTGAGGGGGGGTTAGGGAGGGGGTGAGGGAGGGGGTGAGTGAGGGGTGAGGGGTGAGTGAGGGGGGGTGAGGGGGGTGAGGGGAGGGTGAAGGAGGGGTGAGGGGGGGTGAAGGAGGGGTGAGGGGGGCGTGAGGGGGTTGAAGGAGGGGTGAGGGGGGCGTGAGGGGGGGTGAGGGAGCGGTGAGTGAGGGGTGAGTGAGGGGTGAGGGAGGGGGTGAGGGAGGGGAGAGGGGGGGTGAGGGGGCGTGAGGGAGGGGGTGAGTGAGGGGTGAGTGAGGGGTGAGTGAGGGGGGAGGGAGGGGGTGAGGGGGGGTGAGGGGAGGGTGAAGGAGGGGTGAGGGTGGGTGAGGGGGGTGAGGGAGGGGGTGAGGGAGGGGTGAGGGGGGGGTGAGGGAGGGGGTGAGTGAGGGGTGAGTGAGGGGTGAGTGAGGGGGGGTGAGGGAGCGGTGAAGTGAGGGGTGAGTGAGGGGTGAGGGGGGGTGAGGGAGGGGTGAGGGAGCGGTGAGGGAGGGGTGAGGGAGCGGTGAGGTAGGGGTGAGGGAGGGGTGAGGGAGGGGTGAGGCAGCGGTGAGGGGTGAGGGAGTGGTGAGGGAGCGGTGAGGGAGGGGTGAGGGGTGAGGGGGGGGGTGAGGGAGCGGTGTGGGAGGGGGTGAGGGAGGGGGTGAGGGAGCGGTGTGGGAGGGGGTGAGGGAGGGGTGAGGGAGGGGGTGAGGGAGGGGGGTGAGGGAGGGGTGAAGGGGGGGTGAGAGGGGGTGAGGGGGGGGTGAGGGGGGGCGAGGGAGGGGGTGAGGGGGGGTGAGGGGGGGTGAGGGGGGGTGAGGGGGGGTGAGGGGGGGTGAGGGAGGGGTGAGGGGGGGGGGGGGTGAGGAGGGGTGAGGGGGGCGTGAGGGGGGGTGAGGGAGGGGATGAGGGAGGGGATGAGGGAGGGGTGAGGGAGCGGTGAGTGAGGGGTTGACGTGAGGGGTGAGGCGGGGGTGAGGGGGGGATGGGGGGGGGGGGTTGAGGGAGCGCTGGAGTGAGGGGTGAGTGAGGGTGAGGAGGGGGGTGAGGAGGGGAGAGGGGGGGGTGAGGGGCGGCTGAGGGAGGGCGTGAGTGCGGGGTGACGTGAGGGATGTGAGTGAGAGTGAGGGAGGGGGTGAGGGGGCGTGAGGAAGCGGTGAGTGAGGGGTGAGTGCGGGGTGAGGGGGGGGGGTGAAGGAGGGGTGAGGGGGGCTTGGGGGGGCGTGAGGGTGAGGAGGGGTGAGGGAGGGGCGGTGAGGGAGGGGTGAGGGGTGTTGAGGGGGGGTGAGGGCGGGGTGAGGGGTGAGGGAGAGGGTGAGGGAGGGTGAGGGGGCTGGGAGGAGGGGGTGAGTGAAGGGGTGCCGTGAGGAGGGTGTAGGGAGGGTGAGTGGGGGTGCGGGCGAGAGGTGATGGGAAGTGAGGGTGAGGAGGGGGGTGAGGGAGCGAGTGAGTGAGGGTGATTGTGAGTGAGGGCCGTGAGGGGGGCGTGAGGAGGGGGTGAGGGGAGGGAGGGTGAGGGAGGGGTGAGGGAGGGGTGAGGGAGGGGTGAGGGAGGGGGTGAGGGAGGGGTGAGGGAGGGGGGGGTGAGGGAGGGGTGAGGGAGGGGGGGGTGAGGGAGGGGTGAGGGGGGGGTGAGGGAGGGGGTGAGGGGGGGGGTGAGGGGGGGTGAGGGAGGGGTGAGGGGGGTGAGGGGGGGGTGAGGGGGGGTGAAGGGGGGGTGAGGGGGGGTGAGTTCGAGGCGGCGTTGTGAGGGAACCGAGGGAGGGAGTTGCGCCTCTGCGCGCACTACTTTCTGTGGAGGCGGGATACGCGCACGGGGCGGAAACGCGTCGAGTGTTTTCACTGCGCCGAGCGCGGCGCAGAGGAGCGCCACTCACCGACGACTCCGACTCCTCCTCACCCAGCCCGGACTCCTCACCACGACTCCTCACCCCCCCCCCCCCCCGGCTCGCCGAGGACATCGCCTCCCTCTGCTCTGCCGCAAGCTTCTGCGCTCGCCTCGCCTCGCAATATCCCCTCGCCCGGGCGGCTTCTCCTCCTTCTCCTCCCATCGTTCTCTCCCTCCTCTCTCCCCTCTCTCTCTCGCCGCGTCCCTCCTCTCCCTCCTCGCGAGGTCTGGGGTAGAGTGTGGGGGGGGTCTAGACAGAGGTCAGGGACAGAGGTCAGGGACAGGGGTCTGGGAGAGGGGTCAGACACTAGGGGTCAGCTACACACAGAGGGCTTGGGCTGGGGTCAGACACAGAGGGGTCTGGTCAAGGTGTCAAGGTCTGGGCTAGGGCTCTGGGCTAGGGCTCTGGGCTAGGGCTCTGGGCTAGGGCTCTGGGCTAGGGCTCTGGGCTAGGGCTCTGCTCAGAGAGGGGGTCCTGGAGAAGGGGGTCCTCTCCGGGGGGGGGCCTCCCGGGCCCTGGCTGGGGATGGGGTCTCTGGGGGCGGGGGGACGAGGGCCGCACGGTGATGGTCGCGCCGCCTCTGGGGCTCGGCCCGTGTCGGGCAGCAGCGGCCGCTGACGGCCACGGAAGAGACGGAGCCAGATAGGTGGTGAGGAGGTGGAGGAGGTGGAGGTGGTGGTGAGAGAAGATAGCATCTCAGGAGGAGGCGAGGGAAGCGACGTGGTGTGGAGAAAGAGGAGGAGGTGGTGGTGGTGGTGAGGAGGAGGAGGCTGCTGTGACAGCCATCGGCAGGGATTTCAACATCAGCGGCCGCAGCCACCGGCGTGCATGCGCGGGTCTCGGCGCGGGCACAGCCCGGGGAGGGACGGGCGAGGCACCTCGAGGGGGTCGGGGGGTCGGGGGGCCATGAGCTCCACGCAGGGCCCCGTGGCCTGCGTGCGGGGGGCCCGGCAGCTGAGCCGCCGCTCCCGCTCGGCCCGAGACCGGGGCCGAGACCGGGGCCGAGACCGAGACAAGGATGCCCGAGACCTGGACAAGGACAAGGAGATGGATCTGCCGGGGCTCGGCAGCCCCAAGAAAAGTCGCCCTCCCAAGGGCGCCACGTCGCCCTCCTCGGGCTCGGAGGGCCTCGGGGCCCCCCCCCCAGGCTCACGGCCCCCGGCAGGGCCAGCCTCGTCCCGGCCGCCCAGGCGCCGTAAGAGGGCCGAGCAGACGGCCCCTCCACCCAAGGAAATACTACTACTACATCACGACAAGGAGGAGAAGAAGAAGGAGGAGGAGGAGGATAAAGAGGAGGACGACGACGAGGAGGAGGACATCATCGATGGCTATGCCATCGTGAGCTTTTCGTCGCTGGATGCGCTGGAGGTAAGGGCTGTGTCCCCGCGTGGCGGGTCTGGTGGTGGTGATGGTGCTCCTTGTGTTTCCTTCTGAATCAGGGGCTGACCCTTGAGTAGAAGGGTGATCTCTTGGGTGGTAAGGGTATGTATTAGACCTTGAGTAAGGTGGTGGTCCTATCAATGGCATCAGGACATGCGTTCCAGAAGCCCTGCGAAATTGGTTCAAGCAAAGCCCCCGATGAGACGCTGAATATTGAAACCGGGTCCAGAGGTTGCTTGTGTTTAACCAATGCTGCCGATGGGATGTACTCCCAGAAAGGTTGATGTGGTTGTGTAAAACATATTTTATATTTTAAATGTGGAGGGACAAGAAGGAGCCGTGTTGTCTGCTTAGTTATTTCGCTGCTGGCATTGAGCTTTGAAGGAGGAGGTAATAGCGCCCATGTTGCACTGGGACACCCTGTTGGGAAGGGTGCCTGTGGGCCCAGATAAACCCCAGCTTCACAACAACTTTAATAATTGAGACCTTACGCAGTGGACATCAGTGAACAGCAGGGTCATGAGGGTGGACAATGCTCAGAAAAGTTAAATCCCCCACACAAGACACCCTTGTCTCACGTCTCCGCACTGTGTAGGGTTGCTCACTTTGTTAAATCAAAAGTGAGTTCCTGCTCAGATGAGAATGCATACTGTGGCGGTGCTCAGAATCGTGTTGCAGCCCTGAGCCAGTGGTGGATGATTCCACGTTCCTATGGCGGGGGCGAGTCTCTCCACAGGACAACCGCCGTTCACAAAGTGGTTACTTCTATCGAACCCCCAAACCAGGATTTGAATTCGCAACCTTGTGATTGCGGCCTTCCTGGCCGGCTGTGTAAAATGAAAGCCTACAACAATACAACACGGTGCCGTGTTTACAAAGGCAAACGGTGAGCTGAGTTGTGAACTGTTGTGCCCACCCACCCCCCTCCGAGTGTGCGTAGCTGGTGGCTGTCAAATGTCTGCCCGCGTGGTGTTTGACGACAGCTGTGGCATTTAAACATTTTAACTCGCGGAGTTTTTTTCTTTTTAAAGTGCCCTCCTCGTTGAAACGGTGGTTGTCGTCGCGGGGTTTTTAGTGGCAGTCGTGGTGCCCCCTCACCACAACCTCTGTTCTAACTTCTTCATGTGGCCTATGAAGAGCGGCTATTAGAGACAATAAGTTTACTCGTGATTGAGCCGTTCAGTTGTTTTGTCTCAAGAGTTGGTGAATCGTCGGTTCACCCACTCGCCCGCCTTCACGTGTATATTTGGGGCAGTGCGAGGCTACATTGGTCAATGGTGTGGATAGAGTTCGTCACACACGGGAGAGTCCTTTTATTTTCCACTTTGTGCACGAGGTGTCTGCACCGTATGTTGTCTATGGCATCTGCTCATCCTGGAAAATGCCCTAGTACTAGTTAGTAGGCAGCAATTGGGTACCACGACTGAAATATATTCACTTCTTATTGCCTAGTACAGAGTAGTCTCCTATTGTCACACTTGTGCATCACAGCAAGATGAGGTCGATTCCTGACTCGAGGGCCTATCTGTGGGGTGTTCTGCATGGGCGCCCTCCAGGTTTTCTGGTTTCCTCAAACCTAAACCCACACACACGCATTCACTGGTATTGGCCAAAACATACCTGTGCTGAAAGATTACATGAGCATTAACTGGGATGACGCACAATAGCATCGCCCCCGCTTGTGCAAACTTGGCAGGACCCTCCTGAAAAAGGGGTCTTGAGATTAAGTGTGGCTTTCCTGAGCATTCAAGCTTAAAACTAGATAATAATGTACACCTTTTCAGACCTGGATATCTATGTAATCAAGTTTGCAAATGGCCTTCACAAAAACCCAGATATATGATTTTGTCGAAACCAAATTGTGGTTTATTATTTCGAATTGTTAAACAAGTGTAGAATCCCTTGATGAGACACTGAATGTTGAAACCAGTCCACAGCAGCCACGCGGCTGATGGGATATGGAAAACAAATACTTGTATTCTGTTATGTGTAGGGACAAATATGTGGAGGGTATTAGATGATTATCTGTTTTGTTTAGGGTTACATGGCCATCAGGAGAGTATATGTTGTTTACATAACAAAATAAAAGACCATTCCCTGTGTGACTGAATCGCTATTGTGAGCAATTTGAAAATCCATGTCAATGCAACACCCATTGCATAGATGAGTTGACGCATGCCTAAAGCTCGTATCACTCCGTTTATAAAGCTATTCATGCTAATTCAGTCTCGCCAGTTTTAACATCTTAAACCGTTTATACACAAGCGGACAATGTAACATTTCATCACTGACAATATTTACTTAAACATCTTGCAGAAGTGTTTCCCATAAGTATCTTTAATACCTTATTTATAAACATGAAAGAAAATATTTACATTGACAGTCTGCAAGATGAATGCTTTAGCAAAGTTGCCAATTTCAATGAGACAAATTGGTAAGTACCTTTACAGGTAGTTTAATAACCCCGTATCCTAATTACTCAATTTGGTAAACCTTTTTTCAAGATCTAAGTATGTATAAGTACATTTTAATGCCTCTTTTCATAATGGAATGGAGCCTGTATTCATAATAGTTATCCATGGATTCTGCGCAAACACAATGACATGTTTACAACAATGGAACATTTTTGCAGATGAGACATTTTATCTGCTCACTATTCAAATAAGGGGAGTGCAGACGGCTGGCAAGCTGTTAAATGTACTTACATTTATCTCAATTCCACACAGGTTCTATCAAAATGTTTTACACTAATTTTTCAACGCAGTCATACGTCTGAAGTTTGGAACCGACAGTTTAGATGAGGGTTTTTAAAATATATGTTTCATTACCAGTAACCACGTCAAAAAGTAAACCGTAAAGCAAGCAGTTTGCAGGAGTGAACCTTTGTATTTTAAATGAGAAATAAGGGCACATGTATCACACGGTGACTTAATCCACCATGCTGTTTGTACGTTTGCGTGTGCCAATAAGCGCATTGATGACTAAAATGTCACTGGAATGGATTACCTATTCCTGGCTTTCGGAAATCCTGCTAACAACAGCAGGAGCACCATTGGCAGCTCCGAAGTGTGCATATTTCTTAAAAAATTTATTTACAAAAAACGAAGTGTTTCCAAGAGAAACATTACGTGGCGCACGGTATCATTGACGTCAATCTCAAGGAGATGGAGCGATGAGATCAGTTTTTGTGCAGGTGCTGGATGGATTATTGCATTGCAGGATTGTAAGAGGTAGTGGCGCCATGGGGTGGCCTTCATTCAGCAGTGGATTGTTCATGGCTGATGAATATTATCGTAGTAACTACTGTACTCGTGTATATTGAGGCTGTGGGGTCTTGTAGTAGCTTGTACTGAGAGTGCTCAGAGGAGATAAAAGCATGCTTTGGCCACCAGTATCAAGTTTGTAATCTTATATCAACAAAAGGCTGCCGGACTTTATACATGAAAGCAAATCCGCCGTACTTATTTGAAAAAAATACTGTTATGCAGTAGGCAGAAGCAGCACACGAGATATGTCCACGATAACATGTTTTCAGTGCAATAGAGGACGCTCGTACCATCATCATCATTTATAAGAACCCCTGCAACAAATACCATTTGTTTATTTTCTAATCCAAGGTGTTGAACGTAGGACCAATACGTCAAGTGGCTAGCAACGAACAGCACTGTCCAAGTTTTAGTATATAAGAGGTGACACGTTTCTTGAATTGAGCAAGGTTATTATAAGAGCCTGAACAAAAGAGACGACGGCAGGGGGGGAATGTTGAAGTGGAGCAGTGTCAGCAAGGAAGAAGTAGAAAGAGAGAGCACCACGTGGCCTGCAGTGTTAGTGGTGGTGGTGGAATGACCGCGGGTGAAACACTGGGCGGGTGGTGTTTGTTGTGTCCTGCAGTGTGGTGGTTGAACAGTGCGAATTGGACGAACAGTCAGTCTGGTAGACCGATGTATTTAATGACGCTTCATATCAAATGTGCTGTGTTTTCACGGTCGTACTACTGTATAGCAAGCAGTCAAAGTAATACATCTCGTTGTCATCCCCCCATGCCGGTTCTGTGACACGCACTTGCTTTATTATGAAGTGAAGAGTCAATAAAGATTTCTGAAGCCTTACTTGGATGGAACACTGATGTTCAAGAACATTAACCCATATGCACATGCGTGTAGAGACGACAACTTGTGGATTTTATGGCTCAATCTGGCCAATCTTAGTAGCCAGACAGTACTTTGATTTGACAATTTATAGCTGGCTGTGAGCTGCTATATATTTGCCCATTTCAGTAGCTCGTGCACTGAGTTGCGTTTGTCTGGTTTCTGTGTTTGGGTAAGCTGTACTTTATAACCGTGTCATATTAATGATTTTCACACGGCTTCTTTGTGAAAGTGTAGCATTGTTAGGTGATCGTCTGTAATTGCCAGCACTTTAGGGTGATATATCTCGTGGCTATGTCGCAGCACTGTGCTTTGTCTCTAGGTAGCACGTTTTTTTTGGTTATTTATAAGACGTAGCTTTGTTTTGTTAGATCGCCTATGCAGTGTTACAACACGACTGTCCAAAACTGTCTTTACTTGCAAATCAATGTCGTTTGTGATAAAAGCGAGTCTTTAATGAGATGTGTGTGTGTGTTCACACTAAAATTGCATTAGCTGACTTCACAATAATTATACAAAGCTGAATTTGATTACCCCTAATCATGGTCAATGGCACTTGAAGAATTTAGTTTTTTTGTAGTGGATGGATAAAGTGATCTTCGTCATTATTATATCTAAGTGGGCTCGTGTGACCTACTGTGCTGATACGTCTTATTGATTGGTTTCCTTGCAAGTTCAAAACAACAACAATAATACTACTTAATTTAGTATGACATTAAAGAGAACAAAGTTTACTTTATTACTTTTAGCTTATGTTACCATTCACGCTGTAACAGGTTTAAGCAATTGCAATATGCACATTCAAAAGTCAGTGAGTTTTGCTCATACATCAACGAGATG